GATGATATAAATATTGTCAGGGAAGACCTGATTGTCATTTTGTCATTGTCAAGTTTTTAGTGTCGTTTTTTTTCTTAAAGCCATGGGGGTCCAGGGGGCACAGCCCCCTGGCTAGGCTCATTTAATACCATGGGGGTCCAGGGGGCGCAGCCCCCTGGCTAGGCGTACATATTACTAAGGGGGTCCAGGGGGCACAGCCCCCTGGCTAGGCTCATTTAATACCATGGGGGTCCAGGGGGCAGAGCCCCCTGACTAGGGAATATATAGATCGTAGTGTATAAATCCCACAGGGTTAGGTTAGGATGGTTTATTGGTTAGGATGCATTGTACGATTACCACAGGGGATCTGGATTATGTGAAATCCTGTAGATTTTTGCCGAACAATGGGTTTGGTTCCCATTCGAAAGTTGGCGCTCGGTCCGTAGACTTTCAAAGGTGATCTACTTCATGCCCTCCCCTGCTATGGGGACTTATCAAATCACATCAAGATTGTCGGCTGGAGAATGCGACGGAGAATATCATCAGATTCGTTCTCATCACACGAGAACAAATCTGATGATATAAATATTGTCAGGGAAGACCTGATTGTCATTTTGTCATTGTCAAGTTTTTAGTGTCGTTTTTTTTCTATAAGTTGGCACAAAGTGTTAAGAATGGAGAGGTTCAAGGGAGGGTTAAATTTACCAAGAGTGATGCACGGAGATAGAGGAAAATGGACACAGCCTTCTTGTAGAGTATAAAAAATAGAGTAGGAATCAATATAGGTAAATCTGCAGTGGTCTCATATTTACCAGGAAATGATGAAAATAGGCCCTACATGGCACTGTGAGGACCAAAATAAATGAGGTGTAACTCTTTAATGCAATCTGTCAAGTAGTCCATATATAACTATGTGATTGTGAGAATGATTATTTTGTAATTACTTACTAGTCTGTTTTTTTTTTGTTTTTGTTTTTTATTTACATACTTAATTAATTCTTTTACTTTTATTATACTTCTTTTAGATGTTTTGATAATTATTTCCTCTATTTTGTTCTGCGCATGTGTGTTTTGCCACTGGGAGATTTGATAGGGTGTTGGTTGAGAAATATTTTATTTTAAGCATGTGTTGATTCTGGGTCATTTTATAGCCATATGGAGGATATATAGAACATATAGATATTAGTATCTATCTGTCTGATATTGGAGTACATAAAGTGCCCAAAATGCCAAAAAAAAGTGATTAGAAACCAAGGAATTCTTATCATAGATGGAAGTGAAGAAAAGTTTGGGGTTTTGCTGTATAAAGGTATGTGGTTTTACCCTGGGGGTTCCGGGGGCTAACTAGGGAATATATAGAGTATGTTTTCTTAAAGCCATGGGGGTCCAGGGGGCACAGCCCCCTGGCTAGGCTCATTTAATACCATGGGGGTCCAGGGGGCACAGCCCCCTGGCTAGGCTCATTTAATACCATGGGGGTCCAGGGGGCACAGCCCCCTGGCTAGGCTCATTTAATACCATGGGGGTCCAGGGGGCAGAGCCCCCTGACTAGGGAATATATAGAGAATGTTTTCTTAAAGCCATGGGGGTCCAGGGGGCAGAGCCCCCTGACTAGGGAATATATAGAGTATGTTTTCTTAAAGCCATGGGGGTCCAGGGGGCAGAGCCCCCTGACTAGGGAATATATAAAATGTATTTTATAAATCCCATGGGAGCTCAGGGGACAGAGCCCTCTCTCTAGGGAATATGCAGATCATATTGCAGTAACCCCTCTTGGATGGGTCATGTGTACAGCCATCATAACAAACTGCTTGGTCTGGGGTATGGCTATACGGGTGGAGAGCGCATGGAGCGTGAAATTCCGTAAGATTTGCATGTTGTTTTGTTGCTCCATTTGAGGGGAAAAGGTGAATAAAATACAGAGCTATGCTGAGCTACACTGAGTATATTCTGGAGGAGTGTACTACAGCACTAATGTTTACATAAGGATTACATATACATGCAATATATATAGAGGGATACATTACTAGTATTATAATATAAAGTACATAAAACACAATTAACTAAGGTTGATCATTTGACATCCCTCTTTTTTAAAAACAAAAGAAAATGGGGTTAGATTCTTATCATATATGAGATATATATAGTATCTGGTAGTTACAAAAATAGAATCTGTAGTGTATCAAAAACATAGTTTGACATTTTTGAGCTTCTAAAGTTATGTAACTGAGATTGCACCTGAGAATGCTTTGTAGTTCACAGACATGTAAAATAAGAATTAGCACCTATTTCAGTAATTTTCAAAAAGAATCAGGTATTAACATAGCACCTTGTTTTGAGAATCAGGTTAGTATACTGGCCATTATGATAGCACTTTCCTTAACACTATTAAACACTTCATATATACACTGTAGAGAATGAAACAGATTACAAGTTGAGTCTATTAGGCCTCTTAATGATACAGCTACATCTCGTTCTTGTTCCATCACAAGTTGATTCTTGTTCTTGAGGCACTACTTTAGGAGCCTTGCTCACATGATCTTCATTGTTATCCATATTCAGTGTAATTTCAGTAGACTCTTCTGCATGGTCTTCACCTAGAAGTGCATGCTTGGGCTGTGGCCTCTGCCTGGTGTGTCGTCTGTTTCTTTGTAAGATACCTCCATTTTGTGTCTCAACTATGTAGGATCGAGGTTCTTGAGATTTCTCAAAGACTGTAGCGGGTGTCCATCTTCCAGTTATGTGGTCTTGAACAGCTTGGCCTGGTAGGATTGCTTGTTGGTCTTTTGCTCCTCGGTCATAATACTGCTTCTGTGTGTCTTGCTTCCTCTTGAAGTTTTTGTAGACTTCTTGTTTCTGCCCTTCTTTTGTAGGCAGGTGGAGGGGTAAGTTACCCCTCATATTCCTCCCATTCAGAAGTTCTGGTGGGTTTGGAAACTTGCTATGCAGTGGTGTGGCACATAGAGTTAACAATGCCATTTCTGGATCCTTGTTGCTTTGTATTGTCATGTTGATGACATTTTTGACAGTCTGGATGATTCAGGGTGATGTCTCTTGAGGTTTCCTGTCAATGTTTGTCTAGTTTTTTGTTGCTTTGAATTGTAGGTCTAGACCAATATGTTGGTTGTCCATTGCTGGCTGTTAGCATTCTTGGACTTGTCACTGTTGAAGTTCCTATGAACTTTATTTCCGGCATATTGACTCTGGCCTGGGCTCTTACTCTTGTATGTTTTTTTCTTATTTTCTGGTATTGACCGACACATTTTTTGCCAGTGGTTCATCTTGCCACACATTTTGCAGCTAGTACCATATGCTGGGCAGGATTGTGGGGGGTATTTATTGTGTGCTCGCCCACATTTGCTGCATGGTTTTGATGCCAGTGCAAAATTTTGGTATCCTAAAGCATCAACATTTGATTCATAATTTACCATTTTGGCTCTCACGTCTCTCTTATCTCTTATGTTTGCTTCAAAAGATCTGGCAAAGTCAATGGCTTCAAAAGATCTAGCAATGTCAAAGGCTTCAAAAGATCTGGCAATGTCGATGGCTTTGCTCAACCTTATGTCTTCACCTTCTATAATAAGGCTTCTTTGCAAATCTTCATTATAGATTCCATTCATGAATTGCTCAATAACTCTTGGTTCGTGTTCTGTCTCGGTAAATTTGCATCTCTTAGCTTGAGCTTTACATCTGTTTAAGAACTCATCACTAGATTCATTTTCTCTCTGAAAGAATCTTCGAAAGTGGAGTCTTTCGACATATTTATTAGTCTTAGGTTTTAGCCGAGTCTCGAGAGCATCCCAAACTTTGTCAGGATCTTTCATATCTTCAGTCAAATTGCTTGCCTCTACCATTTCTCTCCGGGAGTACCTGCGTACAGAAGGATATGGTTTGCCTGATCCTCTCTTGGTATCTCCTTAACCTTGAAGTATCTAATACAACGTTTTTTGAAAGTCATGAGCGCGTCATAGGAATCGCTCGTTTTCCAGTTCATACAAAGTTCGGCGCCGGCCATTTTCGTGGCTGTGACGTGGCAGTGCGAGTATTAAGACAGTTACGGTGCACCAAAGCGAGCTGTGAATTACTTCCGCATGCTTCTTATATACTTTAGTCTTATTTGTGTTTATTTCTTCACCGAGAGCGAATCTTTCGTAATTTAGGCGCGACGTGGCACTAGTCTCGTTGCTGGTTGGTCGCTAACCTCCCGTATTTTAATGCCCACATTTCGGTATCTCCAGGTTGTTATTATCTCTTTCCCCTGTTTGTCTATGTTTGGAGACGGAGTGCAGCTGCCACCATGTTTTATATGTTGTTTTGCTGCTCCATTTGAGGGAAAAGATGAACAAAACACGGAACTCGACTGAGCGACACGGGCATATCGCGGAGGAGTGGGCAGCACGAATGTTTACATGAGGGTTACGTACGCATACGATATATACAGAGAGAGGGATACGTTACTAATGTTATAATATAAAGTAGATAAAAAACATAATTATAAAGAAGATAATTATGGTTGACCATATGACAGCATAAGAACTAGATGATATAAGGGTTCATCCAGTGTGCAAGGATTTTTTTTTTTAGTGTATACAGAATAATAGTTTTCAAATTATTTCCACGCATTGCAGAATTTCTGGTAAAATAATGGAGAATATCTTTGTGGCTATTATTATAGGACATTTATGAATGATGGAAAAATCTGCATTATAAGTTAATAGAGAAACAACTTTGGGTTAATTTTCCTTGGAAAATTTTCCCAACTTCGTCTAAAGAAAACTTTTAATTCAAACCTCTTAGTTCGAATATGGCCTTACTTGAAACTTTTGCGAGAGACAAGATAATCAAAGTAGACTAGTGGCTGCACAAGGTCAATATCAAGGTTGCCTGAACACCTTCATCATCATCATTGGGGAGCTAACGCCGGTAGGGGCGCATAGCCGCGTCCACCCTTCGCTTCCACCTGCGAGGGTCTCTCATGGCGAGCCGCCAGGCATTGATTATGAACTAGCCTGTTATTGCTCTTCAGTGAAAGCATTAATAAAAGGAGGGTTTAGGCTTGTAACACTGCAGCTCAAGAACCCCACACCTCCAAAGCAAGCAGAACAGGGCAGCCTCCATTATTGTGTATAGGTTCTTACTGTCATTCTGGGCTTCCCTCACCATGGCATTTGTAGATGCCCTCTGCTGTCATTGGCTTCAGTATACCATTTTAATACAAAAGTTGGAAGGTAGTATGCATTCTCTTTTTTAATGTTTAATAGCATCATTGGGTTAGGTGTGTGAAAGACTTGGTAATTGTAATTACTTTAACAGATTCTCTCTAAATTTATCATTCCTATTTCAGGAGCAATGCCTTGTCGGTGCTTCATTTCATGGCAGACTGGGCCCCACAGTGTGAACAGATGAATGACGTCATCAAAGAGTTATGCAAATTACCTGAGATTAAGGTTTGTATAAAATGTAATAAAATGTACCAGTTCTTACTCAGTGGGGTTTTTATTTTTCTTTAGCTTTTGTGAATTAATACATATTAAATATGACAGGTACTGAACAATAATTTATACTTTGTTTATATTGCTTGTATTTATTATAGGGTTAGTAAAGTGTGTTTGATGTTTTTATTCCTAATGTATCTAGGAATTATTCTATTTTCAAAGTAAATGAGCTTCCTAAGTCCCTACATGATAATTCAAGTCTAGTTATTGTAACAGTCTTTTACAGTCACCTTTTAAGCTTTATAGATGTCTTAATCCATTGACTATTTTAAGTTACAATTTGAAACTGTTATGCATGATGCATTAGTTGACTACAGACCATGTCCTTATAAATACTTTCCCATGTTCTTGGCCTTTATGTCTTTGAGTCTCTTCCATGTTGCTGCCATCTCTACTCAGGAAGGCAGGAAAATTACTGTTATGAGTGATGTATTAAAGATTCTGAATGCATTCTCTATCCCAGTAAAGTAATGAATTCTTGGGAAATGTAATTTTTTTCAAGCATTTCATTGTATGTTGTTATTTCTCCAATAAAGGTTTTCATTTTCCTCTTGTCCAGGATGTGACATTTGGCCTTTTAGCAGCAGAGGACCTATCTGAAGTTAGTCTAAAGTTCAGCGTTTCAGCCGTACCCACTTTCATACTGTTGCGGGGGGGGCAAGTGGTTGACAGAATAGACGGGGCCAAAGCAGCTGATCTAACGACAAAAGTAAAAACGCAGGTCAGTGTTTCAATTTCCTTGTTTGTTGTTAAGGGGTTTGTGTGTCATGAGTTTACACATTTGTTTTGTATTGTTTGTTCAGTTTTATTTATGACTGGTGAATTTTTATGGTAAAGTATGTGTGTAGCTCAAGATGCATTTTCAGTCATATGCAAAAATGTGTCCTGCTCCGATTTCCCCTTTTCTTAATTTTTCAGTCTTTGTTTTTTTGACATTATAATTATTATGTTAATATCAATACTAATAGCAATATTAGATTAGAAAAAGAATCTCTCTGAAAATCAAGGAAAAGGGTAAGCAGGTGAGCCAAGTGAGAGGAGTGATTGACTCCTTCGTGATTAAAACAGATAAGCAACAATGAACGATTATATCTCTCACAGGCCGCGAAGACGTCTCTAGTATCCACTGCCCCGAGTGCGCCTCCTGTGGACCTCAACACACGCCTCAAGAGCCTCATCTCGTCTGCCAAGTGCATGCTGTTCATGAAGGGCTCTCCGGATAATCCACGATGTGGTGTGTTGTGTCTGCCGTTGAGCGTAGTTGATTGGATTCTTGGAGTTTTCATTCTTTCTTATTCTTTTGGATTTGGGTTTATTTGTTTGTTACTTTCTGTACTTTTGTCTTTCGTTATTATTACTTTTTTTTTTCTTTTTTCTTTTTTTTATGTTTTATGTCTTCTTTGGGGGAGAGGATATTGTTACTTCTTTTCATTTAATATTTTCATGTTCTCTTTTCTTCCCTTCTTTTCTTTTCCTTTTCTTTTATCATTTTTCTTTTTTTATCTTTTCTTCTTTTCAGTTATTTATATTGATATTTATATCATGAAATTAAATTATATTGTTATTACTATTCGTTATTATTATCTGTTGTTATTCTTTTTTTGTAGGATTTAGCCGCACAACCATAGAACTCCTGAACAAACATGAAGCAGATTACGGCAGTTTTGACATTCTCACGGACGATGAAGTGCGACAAGGGCTCAAAACCTTTTCCAACTGGCCGACCTATCCTCAGGTGAGTGCGCGACTTCTTTGGTTTCATTTGCTTTTGTGTCTTTTAAGTGGGTAAGTGGGTGAGTGAGTGAGTGGGTAAGTGAATGAGTAAGTGGTTGGGTGAGTGAGTGAGCGAATGAGTTACTATATATGTGAGCATGTGTCTGAATGAGTAGGATGTAAATGTATGTGTGTGTGTGTGTGTGTGTGTGTGTGTGTGTGTGTGTGTGTGTGTGTGTGTGTGTGTGTGTGTGTGTGTGTGTGTGTGTGTGTGTGTGTGATCATTCATTAAAGAAAAAAATGAAATTCTAGAGATGACTCACTCTCAAGGGCTAATTCAAAGTACTTTGTGTCCCTGTAGCTGTACATTGATGGTGAGCTGGTGGGTGGATTGGACATTCTTAAGGAGATGGATGCCTCGGGAGAACTAGAGCCGATGCTGCCCAAGAAGAAGAAATTGGATGACAGGTAAGTCATGTATGACTGAGACCCCCTCCCCACATTCTTTCTCTTTCTCTTTCTCTTTCTCTTTCTCTTTCTCTTCTCTTCTCTTCTCTTCTCTTCTCTTCTCTTCTCTTCTCTTCTCTCTCTCTCTCTCTCTCTCTCTCTCTCTCTCTCTCTCTCTCTCTCTCTCTCTCTCTCTCTCTCTCTCAATTCTCTTTCCTTGTTTATACTTTTGTTATTCGAGTCCCTTCACTTTCTTTTTCCTCTTGTTCCTTTTCTGCTTCATATATTTTCACCTGGTCTTGCATTATATGTAACATGATTTTGAGTGTTCTCTCTATCAGCTGATTATCATCCCTTGTCCTCCCAGGCTCAAGGAACTGATCAACAAGGCACCGCTAATGCTCTTCATGAAGGGAAATCGGGAGGAGCCAAGATGTGGATTCTCGCGCACCATGATTGGAATTCTGAACGAGACCGGGTGCGTAGCCAGAGCACGTTGGAGATGAGGCTGGGCTTTCTACAGTTGCCTGATGAGCTTTGGTAGAATGCCTGTCGGGTCTTTAAGAGAATATGTACCTGTAGTATTTTATTAGAATATTTTTATGATTTTCTTGCAGGCCTTTCTTAGAATGGCATTATACCTCTGTTGTAATCGCATAGGACTTTCGTAAAATATCTAAAACTTTTTTCTGCATTAGTTTTGGGGATTTCATAGAATTTCTTTTGGAGGATTTCTGAATACCTTTACAACTTTCTTAAAAAGTGGGCAATCACACTAGGAAAGTCATTATAGGTATTGGAAAATTCATTACAGTGAGTTCTGATGCATGATTGTTTAATTTATTCCTTAAATCTCAATGTGAGGTGAAAGCCATGTGCAATTAGAAGAAACCTTATTTTGGATTTTTAATCTTCAACTTGTCGTGAGCATTTACAATTACAACGGTCCACTGTGTTGCTCATGAGTCTCATAATTTTACTTAACGTCTGTGTGGAGGTTATGTGTGTTTAAAAAGCATTTCCAGCTTCAAACATTTGCATATGTATTTTTCATTTAGAGAAACTGGGAACATGTATATATTAATTGATAGTATTAGATGAGTGGTCTGAACTCAATTCTCCTTACGAATATTCTTGTTTATTTTCTTTAGAATATGTTTTAATACAAACTTATATTTTGCAGACTGTCTTATGAAACATTTGATATTCTGACTGACGATGAGGTTCGTCAAGGGCTGAAAACCTACAGTAATTGGCCCACTTATCCACAGGTGTGTTCATATTTTAGTTCTTGTTCTTAATCTTCTAAAGTTTCCTACTTGTCAGTCACTGCCTTTAGGAAAAAGAACAAATGAACAGTTAATTGTTGTTCTAAAGTTTCCTACTTGTCAGTTACTGCCTTTAGGAAAAGGAACAAATGAAAAGTTAATTGTTGTTCGCCATTATGTGTAAGATTTAGATTTCAGTAACTCTTCTTGTCCCGTGAACTTACTCATCCTCAGTTGTACCTTTCTCAGAAATTGTTACATGCTAACCAAAAGACTGTATTGTAGTCCCAGTGCTTTTCATTGGTTGCTATTCAGACTATTTGTCCTCCCATAGACCCTATTAAATTTTCATTTGAATATTACTTTTGCTGTAAGTTTTCTTATTTACGAAAAACAGGTTGGCTCATGCTTGTATCTGATTTATGCTCTTGAGAAGAGGAAATTCATGGGATGCCAAAGCTTGTAGACATAAGTATAGTTATTTATATAAATGAAATATATTGGGCTAAGGAAAGGACTGTATCATAAGTTCTCTAACAAAAATTATGATAGGAAAATGGCAGAAGGCCTTTTTACTTATAGATAATGGTGACAGAAGTTTATTAGAGAACAAGTTTAATGTCCTAGAAGGATATGCTATAGGAAATGCACTCTCAATTTTGTAGTAATAAAAAATTATCCCTTAAAGATGATTTTGAAAGGATGAAAGTACTCAAGATACGCGTCTAACTTGTTGGAACTTGATGCCTTGCTGCCTGTATGTTGCCCAAGATCCAGGCATTAGGCTTTCTTGAGTGATGACTCTCCCTGGTGTGTAGCTTGTAAGCCTGCGTGCACAGACGCTTGTGTGCGTTATCAAGACTCCTTGGCTCCCCTTTGCAATGTTGTTATTTTTTCTGCATAAGCATTATTTTTATTTTTTTTATTTATTTTTTTTTATATATTCTAAGGTCTGTAATTGTTGTATGAATGGCAATCTACTGGTATACTTGCACAGACCTTATATCATTGCTCAAGGTATTGTGCAATTTTGTAGTAACAATAACAACAAAAACATTTTGTTATTTGTGTTATTTTTCATATTTTAATATTGCTCAGTTTTCTGCAACACACCCTGCACAGGAATATGATCTTAAGCACAGAAATAGTATCCTCTTTGGAGCCAGTGCTGTTCCAGCCATGTGTCATTTACTGGTGGAAATAATGCCAGAGTCCTTCCAAAATGCACATAGAGCCTAATCTTCTTCCAAGAGCTACTTTCGCCTTCACCCAAAATTTTCAAGAGGGCATGTTATGGTCATCCCAGCCTTCAACCAAATTTTTGCATATTCTTGTCACCTAGCTCCTAGCCTTTTTTTTTCATAATGTGACAGCTACAACACCTGGTTCAATGGGTTTCAGCTAATTCTTTTCCCTTTTGTCAACAGGTATATGTGAAGGGTGACCTGATTGGTGGTCTGGACATTGTCAAAGAACTGCAGTCTTCAGGAGAACTCATGGGAGCTCTAAAGGGAGAATAAGTAAATTAATAGATAAATGAATAAGTAAATAGATGAATGAAGAAAGAAAGATAATCACAGGGAAGGGAAAACGAGGGACAGAGATCGGACAATATTTTTATTCAGTTTTGAGAACCAACTCTTTCAAATAGAAGGACTCCCCTACCCCCACAATGAAAACATTGGCTTATTTGAGAAAGAATAAGATGCATTTTGATATCACATTTGGTTCAGTAATTTTCTGTCTTGTGTTTTGATAAGTCATTGCTTTTAAAGTGGTGGGATTTTCATGCTACAGTAATGTGACAGTGAAGCAGTTGTAGGCAATGAACTAGAGTTAGAAAGGAAATTCTAGAACACCTTGTTGCAAAGGCATATCAAGCAGTGAGGATTCCTACTTCCTAAGAAATCATTCCCATTCTCTGTTTCATTAAAATATTTTAAAAATGTACTGTATTGGTTTTATTTTCCCTCAGATGCCATGATTTTTGGTATAATTTTTGGAACAGAGCATTCTTTTTTTCTCTTTAATCAGATATTGAATTCATTTATACAGTATTTATTTTTCTATTGAACACTTTGTGCCATGTCAACATCTAAGGTTATTAACATTGTATTCAAAATACAGTGATTGGTTAGGGCTTGTGGGCCAAGCCCCCAAGTATAACATTATGATGAAGTATTGTGATGAAAAGGGTAATCAAAAGGGTTTTTTCTCTTACTCCCTACTCCAGTGCTGCTTTCACTCCACTCCTCCCCCTTCCTTCCAATATGTTTCTATATTTACCTCCCCTGCATCTATTCCTCCTCCATCTTATGTTTCCACTTTGACCCCTTTCCTCTCCAAATCAAATTCTTTTGCAGTTCTAAATCCAGATACCACAATCTGCCCTCTCCTTCTTGGCTCTACCTGTAGCAGGCAATCTAAATGTTCTACCCCAGCTTCTACCACACCTCTCCTTCACCTACCTCTTGCTCTACCCCTCACATACTTATCTCTTCTTCTCCCATTCATATGAAAACCTTTGTTTCTGATCCCCGAACCATATCCACTTCAGAAACTCTCGAAGATTTTCAGACTTTGTCACAACACCTTCCTTCCCTGGATTCTCTCCCTCCTGATATTTCTCTGGAAAGTGTGATCTAATCGCCCTTAAACCCCCTTTCTCCATTTGCTAATCCTTACCTAACCCTATGGACACCCTTCCAGAATCCCACACTTCCTCCTGTGACAACTGTGATCTAATCATTGTTATCCCCAACCCTAGCCCTTTTACTCACCCTCTCAACCCTCACCCCTCCTTGCCCCTTTCACTGCCGTACTTTACCCTTTTCACTACTACACCTTCCTAGGTTGCTGCATGACCTTTGATGTCTGGCACATTTATTTTGCTTTGTAACCATAACCATTAGTCTGTTCTTGTGCTTGCTGAGCATTATTAAATCGACTACAGTAAAAAAAAAAGTGATGCATGTATAACACTGTCTGTAAAAGGTAATTGTTTTTATTCAAACATGATTGAGAACATTATATATAGGATATAAAAGGTCAATTAACACATTTAAAGAATCCAAGGATAAATTATATGTTATACTCTGTAAGAACAGGGAACAAACTACAAATTATAGTAGTAGTAGCAAATGCCCCCTGTAGTAATATTTCAAGTGAGCCATGCTTCTTAGTTAATGAATACAACTTGCTGAATGGCAAGTATGTACTACAAATATTCAGGAGAAAAAGAAATGGCATATATCATTGGCTGTTTATTTCATTATGTAAACAGGATAAAATTTATACTAACAATAAACACCTAACAGTAACATATTAATATACAGGTGAAGGACACAAGTTATGAAATGTTCAGTAGAGAGAAGATAATCTAATAATAATAATGATAATAATAATAATAATAATAATAATAGGAATAGTAATAATAATATCAATTATTATTATAATTATGATATCAAGATGAAAGGCATTCAACCTAGTTATATTTAAAGACACTTCTACAGTGAGATGTATGTACAAATTATACAGCATTAATGGCTTTCCCTTTGAGTCCGCTCAGATACCGTTTTGTAAATGGCATAATGTCAGAGTGCGTTGTCAGAGAAGTAACGAACAACCACTGCTTTCTGAGTGAATTGTGTGGTTGCTTGAGCTTGGGCAGACCAAAGGACATGCTACAACACAGGTCCAGTGGTAAAGCCCAATGTTATTTTCTTTTTTAATATTTTTGAGCTTGAAGGAACAACGGAGGAAAATAGATTCAATTGAAGAAAAATAAGATAAACACATATAGAAATAAAACTTATATGAACAATTGAGAGGTGTGTATCTCCCAAGGAAGAGGGAAGAAACGAAAGGTAAGTTTTCCTTTTGTTTTTTTATCAATCTGACATCACTCGGACGCCTACTTTGCAGTATGGATCAGATCAGTATGTGAATAAATAACAGTGCTGACCTTGTATAGTACAGGGATGTCATGATAATACAAATGAAGTTTCTTAACATTACAAAGACTACTAGTTTTGAGGTTCGTTAGAATCATATTTTCTTATAACGTACACTGTAGACATTGTGATTAAATTGTTAACCAATAGAACATAAATACAGACACACAAAGGCCAGTCAACAAATGAATTAAAAAAAGATAATCTGTTGATACTGATTGACATTACCAGTGGATGAGGTGGATGGCTTCTTGTACTGATGAGAGACTGCTCAATTTTGTGCTACGACAGTATCTACAAACTCAAAATTGAATAAGTTCCTGAAAATTTTAGAAATTTGCTGAATTAGACACAATGTTCCTGAATTGATTATGGAGAGAAAATCAGATTTTTTTGTTTGTTCCGTTCACCTTATTTCTTTAACCACTGGATAATAGCCTCCTGATTGTCAAGTTTACAGTTTTTACTAAAGTAATACACAAGAACTTAACCTATTGTTGATTTACAGAGAATGACAAGAATTTGATGTGTAAACAGGTTAGCAGTGTCACACGCTGACAGAACACTTTCATGAAAGAAAAACTATTACAGAGGACACTCACAGTGAAGATTCTGGAATGACATGTACCTCTTTTTACACTTTTTAAACATAGGCTTAAAAGCATATTAGAGATAGGTTGGACAAAGATTTTTTTTATTTGGATAAAACCTAGTTTCCAGCTTTGTGATTTGTATCCAGCAGAAAGGCCAACATAAGAAATAAATAGGAATCCTGATGCTTTCTGCTTGATTTCAGAGAATATAATGCAATAGTCTGCTATGATGAAGGAGGTCCTAGCATTCCCCTCACACATGCCTGTCCTTCCTCTTACAGGAAATCATCTTTCTCCTAGAATCCTGTGTGCTATCGCTAACTTGTTATACATATTTTACATAAGCAAACCTTCTACAACAGCAGTCACGCGTCAGCTAGGCCTGAGGTGACTCTCTTCATCTGCGGAGGGCTGTGAGCCGAGGGCGCGGCCGTCGTCAGCAAGGGCTTCCTCAGCTCTTTCTCCAGGTGGGAGAGCTCGGAGAGGTACTCGAAAGGGTGCGAAATCTGGACGTCGTCTCGGGTGCTTTGGCCGCCGGGCTGTCTCTTAGTGAAGAAGACTGCTCTGGGCACACTGAGGGTGTCCTTGGCAAGGGCCTGGGCTGGGGCGCCGCCACTCTCCCCTTGTTGGGGCAGAAGGGGTTCGACGTGCGGCAGCCGCTCCTGGAAGAGGTACGAGAAGGATGCGGGGCTCGGGTAGGCGCTGAAGCCTGGAGCGTCCAGCGGAGAGGAGATGACTGGCGCTCCGTGGGCTTCGCGACTGGGCCGGGGCAGAGGGGGGTTGGGCAGCTTGAGGGTTGGCCTGACGCCGCCTTCGGAGCGGTAGTCGTCCCCGACCGCCATGTCGTGAAGAACGCCATCGTCGTAGTAGTAATATTCATACTCGTCATTGTCGCCTACGGGTAAAAGCTCGTATTCTGTTACCATCTGCGTGCTGGGCTCGGGGGTCGTGTCTGTGGGGGTTGCATCGGTGGCGGTGCCTTCATCTACGAGAAAGGGTGTGGTGGAAAGGGTGGAAAGGGTGGGAAGGGTGGAAAGGGTGGAAAGGGTGGTAGTTGCAGTAGGGGGAGTTCCGGTGGTGCTATCCATGGTGGTGGACGTGGTTGTGCTGGTGGTTTGAGTGGGAGTAGAGGAGGTAGTGGTAGAGGAGGTAGTGGTAGAGGAGGTGGTGGTAGAGGTGGAGGAGGTAGTGTTGGAGGTGGAAGAGCTGGTGGAGGTGGTGTTCTCCAACGACGTAGGATTGTAGGTTGAGAAGATCACCTGATCATTAAAATCAAAGTCGTCCTGAGACTTATCTTCAGCGGAATTGATGCCAAAGACCCTGACCTTAGAATGTCCTTGGTGAATGATATAAAGAGGCGACGACAAGGATTTGGAACCAGTGAAGATCACTTCCAGATCCTCAAAGTTTGTCTTTTCAGGCAGTCTTTCGGCAATCGGAGCGGGCCTAGAGGTGGCGGAAGAGGAGCTGACAACCCTCACCGTCGAACTCTCTCTGACGACGCCCTTTGACTCATGCGAGTCCTTGCCCTCAATGATGACGACGTTGGGGCGCAACTGCGGGCGGGCGTACTCAGGACTGGCTTCCGAGTCTGAGAAGAGGTACCCGTCGAGGGAATTCGTGTCGGCCACGGCGTCGAAGAAATTGCCCTGCTCCTTCTCCGTGACCGCGGTCTCTGTCGAGGGCTCGTCTGCAGAGGCTGGAGGCGTGGTGTACCTCAGGCTGCTCGGGAAGAAGGTCGACGGGGTTGTCGGAGGCTCCTCGGTCGGCCGAGTGTATCTGAACTCCCTCAGGGTCACAGGGTTATCAGTGGCGCCCCTCACCCTGGGCGAGTCCGTCACTTGGGTGTAGCGGAATATCTGAAGGAGTTCCGAGAGACTGTTGGCGGTGAGACTAGTGCTGGGCTTGTAGGAATTCATGTGGTCGTCCAAGTGAGGATTGTGGATGTGTTCGCCTCTCTTCACCCCCCTAGGGACATAGGAGACGGGCCCGTAAGGTTTGTAGTGGATCTTTTCATCACTCGTGTGGGTCTCGGGGTGAATGTACGAGGCTATGGATGGCTCCCGCTTTTTGTTTGGTCTCTCAGATCGCGTTTCGATGAGGAACCACGACCGGGTCGAGCTCGGGGAGACTTCATCGTAGTCGATCCCACCTCTCCTTGTAGGCGTTCGGCCGGAGCTGGTTCTTGTGGTGCTGGGGCGACGGTTGGGCAGGTTTCTGAAAAAGGTTGGTGGCAGGACTTTGCGGATGTTTGATGCTCCCGCGGAATCTGTGGCAGAGCCTAGGTAAGGAGCCTCTTCGATCTGGGACTCCGGATTTTGATTACCCAACAGCTCGTACAGAGCCACTCTGGATCTCGTCCTGTCGACCTCTCGATTTCCTGTATAATCCTGTCGACGTATCACGCTAGGTCTTTCTTCATAGTCCCCTGAAGAATATTGGAAGATGTGGCCAGGTCGACCTCTGACCATCGTCGGGTGGATCTCCGAGAACGCCCCATCCATGTCGTCCTCGTAGTTATCGTCGTATGCTGCTCCTTCTGGAAACTGAATCCTTCCCTCTCCCTTCGCGAAGTCATCTGCTCGCTCGGCAAACGCTAGCTCCTTGTCAGTGGCGTTCCGGTCCTCTGAGCCGCTTGTCTTCGGAGAGCCAGGAGTCTCTGCCTGCTCCTCGCCTTCCCCGAACTGTGGAGCAGACATGAAGCGAATCGCCCCGACACTCTGCGACGGAGACCGGAAGGCTCGAATGATGTTGGTCTGCGGATGGATGTGGAAGTACTCGATGTTCTCTGTGCCGTAAACTGAGTCGTACTCGGGCTGTACCTTCTCTGACCGCACGACGAACACAGGCGGGTTCTCGGGCCTCACCGGGTACATGGGCTTCTTGGCCATCGGTTCGGCGCTGAAGTGGACCTGCGTGAGCGGCGGGGGCTGGTACCCGACCGTGGGATCGTCAGCCATCGGGTTGCTGACGTCTAGGGGATACCAGCCGTCAAAATCGTACTGCAGACTCCTCTTCATCCGGCTGGCCTTTACAGTGGGTTCTCCTCTCTTTCCTGGAAGGGTAATGTCAATATAGTAAACGGGAGAATCTTTCTTGCCTGAACTTATTTCTGTTTGCAGAGGGATTGTCTGTGACCTATTTTCTACAGTCGGTCCTGATGTTGGGACAGACGGTTGCATGTTAAAAGGGACAAAGTATATGTGATTAACATTATTTCCATCTGGAGGGAAAGTTGATGGAAAGTTTGATAAAAGATTATGTCTCGAAAGTAAATTTGGATCGTTATTAAGTACAGGATTGTTAGTATGACCGCTTTCACTGTCAAGCGGCAAGGGCTGCATGCGTGTCATGGGAGCGACGTCAAACATCCCATTCCCAAAAGCATTGTTAGTATTCCCTAGTTTCTGCATGCGGAGGATGTCCTGTATAGAATTGACTCTCCCAGCACTCTCGGGTGGGAAAGTATGGAGGCTGGTGTCCAGCTGACCGACTCCTATCTGGCCGCTGGGAAAAGCAGAATCATAGTCGAAGGTGCCTGCATTATCCGCACCAAGGTCTAAGTCGTCGTTACGGAAGTCCTGGGTAAGAGAGTCGCGCGCACTGGGGACGTCGGTTGCGTCATGGGACGCCTGCGCGTGAGGGACGTCCGCATCCGACTCGATCCCGCCGGGGCCGATGCTGATGTCCCCGTTGGACTTCATGTTGATCTCCAGAATCGGGATATCCTGGAGTTCTTTAGGAATCTGTATGTTGATGACTCGCGTTCCTTGTTTCTCATTGGAAGCAGGCAAGAGAGAGGAAGGAGAAGGAAGGCTGGTTAGTACGGCAGGCGTGGAAGTCGTCTGCGCGAAGGTTTTGGTTGTCCCGATGTCGGAGATCGGGGAAGGCGTCTGCGTGCTGGCGTCGGGGGACGGCCTCTGCCCGCTCACGATGGAGGCGGGCTTCAGCGTCCCGAAGTCGGTAGAGAGGGAAGGATTGTCAGTAGAAGTAAAAGAGGTAGAGGGTTCCTTGGTGGTCCTCAAGGAACCCTGCAGGAAATCGCTAGAGGA